GTGTAATCCCAGGGAAACATGCTAATTTCTTTTATGGGGCTAGGTCAGGCATAGGCAAACTCTGGCCCTCCAGATATTTGGGACTACAATTCCCATCACCCCTAGCTAACAGGACCAGTGGTCAGGGATGATGGGAATTGTAGTCCCAAACAACTGGAGGGCGGGAGTTTGCCTATGCCTGGGCTAGGCAGATGCTGGTTCTGTGTCTCTCACTTTGGTTGTGCCTGGCTATGTTGCGATTCCTTATCTTTTCTGGCAGTATAGGCAGCGAGTGTGTTAGGCACATCCAATATGTGTGCAACCGCGCATGTCGCGCTGAACCTGGTAGTGACCCCCAAATGCCACAAAAATGTCACAAAAAGGGGTGGGGTGGAGGCAGGGATGGAATGGGGTAGGGTGGTCTTACGTGGGCCTTGCCAACATGCACAGAGATTCGGAACATAACTCCTGCACAAATCAGTTGCTGCCTGTCTACATAGTAATATAGGTACAAATTCAGTAACAGAAACTTAGTAGAAACTTCAAGTTCATAATTCCACAAAGATTAATACTAGAATGGGGGTAAAGCAGAACAGTGGCAGTATCCTTTCAGTTTCAGGGGCAAGAGGTAGAGAGAGAGAAACAATATATGCTATGAGGTGTTGCAGTAGAGAATCACCAGTTGAACTTTTCTGTCTAGTTTCTTCAAGTCCTTAAGTATTGTTGCTTAAGTACCACGATCAGTGATCAAGACATTTAGAAAAAGAAATAGCTACAACTTAGACATAAGTTCTAAGTGAACTTTTGCTGAATTTATGTGCATTTGGAAATGCTTTATGTTTGACAAGAAACAGCTGGGAAATTTGGATCTAATTCATAGAGAGTAGAGATATTTAGCATGTGGGTTTTGATTCAAGCCTCTGTTGAGAGTGGGGTACTTTTACCAGTTGGTAAAATGCTAATCTTGCCCTGGACAGCGAGACTGCAATGTTTAAATCCTGCAGGTAGATGCTGAACAGCATCTAAACAGTGACCAAATAGGCTACCTAGGATCAGGTGGGGGGGGGGGTTCACCACTTATTGTAGAGCTTAAGGAATAAAATACTTCTTGCTTTTGATGGCAAGCATGATAACACCAACTCTCTATTTGTATATAAGAAGCAAAAGACCAACAAAATATTTGCTAAGTGGGTAGCACATTATTAGAAATTAAGTAATCCTATTAGTCTGTTGCAGCAAAAGCAATGAAGTGTTTTGTAGTACCTTAAAAGACATCAGCACAAATGCCGCAATAAACTTCTTAGCCTTTAAGGTGCCAAATTTCTTTTCCTTCTTTTTATATCCGTATAAACTTTCCTTTCAACCTACTCCAATTAAGTGAACAAATTTTAGCTCATATAACTATGCTGGCTTCATTTCAATATTTTCATATTTTCTTCGTTTGTCAGGGATTTGGTGCCTTCACTATCCGATACCATATAGTTGTCGTGCTAGTCTCTGGGAACTGCAGAATTCTGGGCTGCAATTCTGGTATTTAAGCTATCCTAACTTCAGGTCTTAATGCAGTGTTTTGCTATTGAATCATCAAATACTAATGACATGTGTAAACTATAGTCAAGTATTTCCAGATGATGAATGCTACTAAATCAAAATTATTGCCTGCAACTGGAACACAGCAGAGGAAGGTTAAGCAGTTGATAGAGGAGCTTGAAGCAGAGAGAGGCATTTTGGACTTTAAGCATTTAGCCCCTCATTCATCTACCTCTACTTCTCTGTGGGGATACCCCTTCTTGATTTTGATATACTTTGTTTTGTTCTGTTGCTCTCTCTGAATCTCAGTTGTCTCGATTGCTATGCTATATACCGTATTTTTTGCTCTATAAGACTCACTTTTTCTCTCCCAAAAAGTAAGGGGAAATGTGTGTGCGTCTTATGGAGCGAATGCAGGCTGCGCAGCTATCCCAGAAGCCAGAACAGCAAGAGGGATTGCTGCTTTCACTGCGCAGCGATCCCTCTTGCTGTTCTGGCTCCTGAGATTCAGAATATTTTTTTTCTTGTTTTCCTCCTCCAAAAACTAGGTGCGTCTTGTGGTCTGGTGCGTCTTATAGAGCGAAAAATACAGTAATTGAATTAGTTCGCTAGATGTGATATTTTGCTAGTTAAATATTGATATTATGCTACTGAAATGTTATTTTATATTTAGTAGTTGATTTGTCACAAATTTGGTATGGCACTGAACTGCTTCATTTACAATAAAATTGTGCTTATTATTGCCGGTAATTTTAATATGTTTATATTGATTATGTTGCCCTAACTCCCAGCCACTTTGAGATACTCTTCAGAAAGAAAAGTGAGGCACATCCAAATACTAAACGAAAAGAACTAAAAACAACACACATACTGGCAATTGAGACATTAATGCTGTATTGTTTTTAACACTTGATTGGGAGCCGGTCAGAGTGGTTGGGGAAACTCAGCCAGATGGGCGGGGCATAAATAATAAATTGTTGTTGTTGTTGTTGTTGTTGTTGTTGTTGTTGTTGTTGTCACTTCAATCTTGTGAATACTTTCTCCCACTTATATACATTTAAGGGCTTAAGAGAATGAGTGCTTTACATAGGTAAGTAGGGATAGTGTTGGATTGGCTTTAAAAGAGGATTAGACGTATTGATGGAGGAGAAGGCTTTTGATAGCTACTAGTCTTGATGGCTATGCTCTGCCTCCACCACTGGAGGCAGTAATGCTTCTGAATACCAGACACTAGAAACCACATGAGGGGAGAGTGCTCTTGTGCTTGAATCTGCTGGGCCATGAGCTGGTTTGGCAAGTGGTCAGCACCTGCGGCCCAGGACCCTCTCAGAACTTCCCCTTGTGATAAGGTGCAGTCCTGCAGTCAAGCATTCACCCTTAGCAGCAACAGGGGTAAAAACTAATGCAGGCAAAAAACTTGTATTTACAGCAAAAACAGCTTCAGGCATATGCCTGATGCTGGAGCAAGCAGACAGGTGTTTGTTCCAATGGCTGACTGAAGAGAAGAGAGGTTCAGAAAAGCTGTAATGATTATATACAACAGAATTTTCAATTTTAACTTCACTCATTTATGTGCCATCTCCCCCCAGCCTTCACTTGCTTACATATTCTGTGAAATCCTTTGTCTTTCTTAGGAATTGACCCCTTTGATATTGATGGCCATATATCATCTATATATTGTGGAGAACTGGTACAGCTCAAACCATGGTACAAAAAAGTCCTTTTTGAGTTCCACAAACAATATGTATGTACATATGGTACAGGTGACATGTTACTTGTGGCCCAAATTCCCGCTAGCAAGAACAGTATAAACCAGCTAAAAGACTGAGCAAAAGGCATGTTATAAACCTGTTAGAATGACCGTCTAGGTGGTTTATTTTTATGTTGAATTTTTGTTTAATTCTTATGTAAGCTACCTTTGAAATATGGCTGAAGAGCAGTATAAGAAATAATATTTTTTATTATTTATATCCTGCCCATCTGGCTGGGTGATCCCAGCCACTCTGGGCGGCTTACAGTATATCTAAAAACATGATAAAAACATCAGGCATTAAAAACCTCCCACTACAGGGCTGCCTTCAGATGTCTTCTAAAAGTTGTGCAATTCTTTATCTCTTTAACATCTGAAGAGAGGGCATTCCCCAGGGAACTTATTGTTAACGTTACTTAAGTCCACTTATTTCAGTGGGTCTACTCTAACCAATATGGGACGTCACCCGGCCCTCTACCCTCTATCATCAGCAACTATTCCACCAGGACACAGGAGATAATTCACAGCCTCTCTCCATCAGCTTTCCTGAAAGACCAGCAACATTTCACCCCAGTTGATCATTACAAAAGCTCTGCAACTTAAGAAATAATGCCTGAGTTTGTTTTTTCCTTCCTCGCCCCCAATCCCCTTTCCTTTTGTGTCACGTATTTTTATCAGTGACATTTGCAAGACAATGTTTTATCCATGACATTTGTAAACCACTCTGGGAGCCTTATTTTGGGCTGAAGAGTGGGATAAAAATGAAATAAATATATAACGGCAATTACATTGTTCATGCCCAGAATTACTTTAACCTTTGTCTTGTGTTCTGGTAATAAGGTCATGAAAACAACTCTCTTGGCAGGATACTAATTTCTGATGATGTGAATTAACAAAAACTTCTAACAGCATGCTGAATGGAGGGGGGAAATTCTTTTTTCCCCCCTTAATCCCCAAGTTACAAGTCTTGTATTATTAGACCAAGCTAGAACAATAGGTAAGAGCCAAAGGGGGGGGTAGAACCAACAAAAGAAAACCCCAACCCCTCAAACATATTGAAAATATGATTTATCAAATCAGAAGATACTTTGAGAAAATATTTTTATTTCACTCATTTTTATGATCCATGGAGTATCATTCTCTGACCATCAAATCAGACATTTGAGGGTTAGCATACTAAACATTTTATAAAATATTTCCCCTATATCATTCAATAATAAAAATTCAGGCTCCTCATATATACTAAGGCTGCATGAAGTGGGTGTTTCAATGATCAAAATATTTTGAAAAGGTATTGTATATTTAGTGGTTACAGGGTTTCCATATATATGTATGTAGATGCAACTTGGAAAAACATGATGGGAGAGGATAAAAAGTAAATGTATTGCAAAGGGAACAAAATATCATATACAGAATTTCACAGCAAAACAATGAATCCCTCAGAGACTTTAAAAGATTTAGAGTGTGCCCAGAAGACAAACAAGTCTGATAACAGAATGATTACTGTGGCAAAGACATCATGGCTGTGACTTTAATTTTTAACAGGAAAACAAAAAGTAACTATAAGCAAAAACATAGGGGCATGTTTGCCATGCCTGTAGCTAATGGGTATTTTGGAGGCTGTTTCAGTACCAAAAGTAGATGGATTGGTATCTATCCATCAGTGAGACAGATTTTACCAATATCTCTCTCTAGAACAAGCTACTCCAAATATGAGTTTCTCAATTACGATCAGATATGAGCTAAGTTGACTCAGTTGGTTAGTGTGTGGTGCTGATAACGTCAAGGCTGCAGGCTCAATCCCCGTATGGGACAGCTGCATGTTTCTGCACTGGAGGGAATTGGGCTAGACCAGGGGTAGTCAATCTTTTTATACCTACCACCCACTATCGCTATCAGGGAAACATTGTGTGTGTACTGTATGTTGATTTCAGTAAGCCATTTGACAAAGTCCCCCGTGCTATTTTTGCAGAGAAGCTGGTAAAATAAGGGCTGGATGAGGTATCTGTTACTTGGCTTTGTAGCTGGTTTATAGGTCGAACTCAAAGAGTGCTCACTAATGGTTCCTCACCATCCTGGAAAAAAGGGACAAGTGAGGTACTGCAGGGTTCTGTCCTGGAGCCATTGTTGTTCAACATCTTTATAAATAACTGGGATGAAGGAATTGAGGAGGTGCTCATCAATGACACCAAGATGGGGCACACCTGGATCTTTGTAGACCACAAGCTTAATGTGAGTGAGCAGTGTAATGCAGCAGCAAAAACAAAAAAATCCCACCAATTTTATTCTAGGCTGCATTAGCAAAAGTAGTGTCCCGATCAAGGGAATAGCACTCTATTCTGCCTTGTCAGGCCACACCTGTAGTCTTGTGTTCAGTACTGGGTGCCACAAGGATATCGACAAGTTGGAAGGTGTCCACAGGAGGGCAACCAAGATGATAAAGGGGTCTGGAAACCATGCCTTATGGGGGGTGGCAGAGGGAGCTGGGTATGTTTAGAATGGAAAAGAAGAGACAGCCATCTTCAAATATCAAAAGGGCTGTCACGTGGAAGATGGAGCAATCTGGTTGTACTATTTCCTATTTGTAACATCACATCAGTTTAAATATAATGTTTCTACAGTAAATTTGGCCTTTTCTATTTCTCTAGACACTTATATTTTGACAACCTCCACATCTGCTTTTGTTCATAAATTCTAGCCAAAGTTAAAGCGGGGACCCTTTGAAAAATCACAGGCGGATGAAGCCTGTGACCATGGGACTCGGCGGGCACCCTTAGCGCCCCCCCAACCCGCAAAGGAACCCACTAACGGGCTCCGACGCGAAGAGGGGGGAAGTGGCGCGTCGCTGAGAGTCAACTGCTATTTCCGTGGAGCGAAGCCACATAGCTGTTGCCGGAGAGCGCTGCCTTTTTCCTGGGACAATTTGGCTTCTAAAATAATCACCCGTGAGTACTTAAATTTCAGACAATTGGACTTTAAATAAGGATTTGCGAGCAGAAAGGAATTGGACTTAAAAATTTACTTCAATTTGGCACTGAAACGGGAAGGTCTAAACAGGAAGTCAGCCTTCCGTTTCTTTGTAGACAGAATAAAGCAAAGACAACGTAAACTAGAGCTCAGAAAATAGCTTTTAAAAGATTAACTTTCATCATTTTAAAATTGTTGAACCCCCCTTCAGAAGCAGGAGAAGAAGGGTGATCTTTTTCGGACTGTTTAAACCTGCAGAAGTGAGTTTAAAGTAAAGTAACTTTCCACCGTCCTGATCCTGGAGCGGGGTGTCAGGACCCACGTTTGAAGCTCATTGACCAGAGACAAACGTTTTTGACAGACAGCTAAAAGAAGAGAAACATAGTGATTCCACTGTTTCCTTTCACATTTTAAAGGAACAAATATTGACAAAATATCTCAAAAAGGAAACTTTGTTGCTAGATTTGTACTTAAAAGAAAGAACAAATAGAAGCTTTCCCCCTAGAGGGAGACTGTGAAACTGTAACTAATTCCAGGGAGCTTGCAGCTGTTACAGATTACAATCGTGGGAATAGACCTGTGACCTTGTAGGACAATGTATTCAGAAGCTCTGTGGTGTGCTCTCTGTAAAACAGATGCCCTACTGGAACAGTTAAATGAGAAGACGGATTTGATGACTAATGCAGTCAGAATTTTTGAACAGGCAGTGGGAAACTATATGGAGCCCACCCAGGAATCAAATCAGGAGTGTGCCCTGACAGAACAGATGAGAGAAGAGGATGTTGCTGAAATTTGGGCGCCAGAGATGGAGCGAGCTGTGGCCCTGCAGGAACATGAGCTTTTGGACTTGACAAATGAACTTGGAAAAAGCCAGATTTGGAAAGATAAAGTTTGGACTGGTTTGGAAATGGGGGGTTGGATAGACCCCCCTATGCAGGGATGTTTGGACTTTCCAAGTCTGGCAATGGGCCGTGAGATGTTTGGGGCTGTGGGGGCTCTTAATTTTGGAGGGATTCTGAAACATGTTTTCAAATACCACATGGAGTTTAGTCTGGTCTTTGGAAAAGGGGCTGATTTGTTGAAAAGGGTCAAAAACATTACCAAGCTGGAGTTCCCACGAGTGAAAGGAGAACATGAAGAAGAGCCGCGGAAGGGACATGGAAGAGACTTAAGGGCCTCGGATATAAGGTTACCAGGTTAATGCGCCAGATCAATGGGATAAAAAGGACTGACAAAACCCGGGACCAGGAGGAAAGGACGCTGGATGAAGATTGGATTGTTTTTATTTCTTTTTTTTATTATTAGGATTGTTCTATAAAATTGATGAATGTTAGAAAAATGTTGGAACGAAATTACTTGGCTCTAGCAAAAATGTTTAAAGAATTAGGTAAGAATATTATGGTTATGAGAAGTTGGTAAAAATAAGATTTAAGTTTTAAGTTTTAAGGTTTTCTATAAGATAAGATGAAAATAGATTAAGGTAATGTAATGACAGAATATTATGAAATATGGAAAGGATTTGCTGCGATAATTAATAACTAGGATACAAAAAAAGGGAGGAGGAGGAGGTCAAAGAAAGAAGGTAATGAAAGTTGAGGATTCGAGAATGATGGATTTGTTTTTATTTGTTTGTGGTGTATTTTTGTTTTTTGAATCTGCATTGTTTGATGTGGTTTGTTTTCTCTTTGTTTTCTCTTTTTTCTTTTTCTGCTGTGTTTTTTTTCTGTAATTTTAAAAATTCTCAATAAATATCATTTTAAAATAAATAAATAAATTCTAGCCAAAGTTAGTGACCTTCTTACACGGAGCACACAAAAGAGGAATCTCTCTCTCTCTCTCTCTCTCTCTGTGTGTGTGTGTGTGTGTGAGAGAGAGAGAGAGAGAGAGAGAGAGAGAGAGAGAGAAAGAGAGAAGCTATTAAGTTTGCTCCTTTTTCTTTCTCTCTAAAGCACTTGCTACGTGTTGACCACCCAACTGGACTGATCTGCTTATCTGCTCTCCAAACCCAGTGCAATACGTAAGTCATTTTCCTCAGCTAGAAATGTAGTATAAAAGAGTGTGGGTGGGAAACATGCAGTGTAGTGGAACTAAAACCCCATAAGGGAAATCAACAGAGGCAGCTGCTGATACCCTGCTTCCTTGGGTAATTCATCCATTTCCCCCTCCCAGGCTAGTGACATGAGGCATCACCCCTTTCGGATTGCAAGTGCAAAAATAAAAATAAATAATAATTAAATCTAACGAAGACAGAATTTTAGCTGCAGAGGCATTCATACAGTGCTAAGTTTCAGTTAAACTGATTTTTTTTTTTTGCCATCTTCTGTGTCTCTAGCATCAGAAACATCTGGTCGGTTTTAGATTCCCCTTGGATTCCCAACTTCAAAGGGAGTTATAAAGAATAACAAATACATGTACTGGCACTGAAAAAAAAATTAGAGCAGCAGGAGAGAATGGTAAAATTGTCCTTATTTGACTGCTAGTGACAGGCTCCACAGGAAGAACTGTGAGAAAATTTCTCAGAGGCTCAGGCAAATCAACAGTTCTTAGGAGAGTGGATCTCTACCGTACATAAAATTTATGGGATCTACTCCATACAAGGGAGTCACACAACTGTATTTTGCTACAAGTGAGCAAAGGTCTCCCATAAAACTGAAATACATAAATTTGTAATAGTCTTACAGTCGCTCCTGCTCCTGGCATTGACGCCCCCACCCACCCTGGGCTTAAAGCTTTTGAACAATATAGGACGCTTTAAAAATGTGACATTCCTAGTAACTAAGGCAGAAAGAGCTAACCCCCCGCCCCGACCCCAGATAAAGCAAAACAAAGCTAAGGAAATGTATCTTTTGCTGTCTTGGCATATTTGTTACAGCAGGTTAGGCAACTGACTGCCAGGATGTGTTGTGGTTTGCTCTGTTTAGAGAAAATTCAAATGTATTAATATTTCTCATACTTAGTTGTACGAGTTAATGTTAAACCTCAGCTCCAGAAGCAATCAATTGCAAATAAATGGCAAATTCCTTGCCATTCCTTCTCCTGAGAGTCAGGGAACCTCAGAGATAGTCTGGGATATAAAGGGGCGGGGGAGAGAGAGCTGAAACTGGGTAGGGGGCGTTCTAGTCCAATACTCTATTACACCATGCACTCAAGCACTGCAGAACTTCAGAATAGGAAGAAATCTGTAGCCAAAATTTCAATGCTGAAGGAAGCCCAGGGCTACAGTTCTATGCTCTTGAGATAAAATCACAACAGAATTAAGTGGGATTTACATATGAATAAATGTGCCAAGGAGTGGGCTTTAAATGTGCAGTTCCATGCAAAACAACAAAAGCATAAATAAAATAGTCCATAATGTTTTAAGTTATTTATTAAATCATTTTAATAAAATTAAATTTTAATAAAATTAAAAGTACATGCTCAGTGAATGAGTACCATATCTTAGCCTTGCTTTCTATTTTCATTAAGAATGCATAAACTACAAAATTAATATCTGTCAAACACATGGTGATAGTTTAATTCATAGTTTGCTTTAAATAAAACTTCCATAGGGAATATATTCATATATTTTTTGGGAGGGGCGCGTGGAATTGGTCAGCTAGAAATTCGTTCCTTGGGAAAATGTAATGGTCGAATATTTATTTGAAATAGCATATTTTGGAATAAAGGTAATATTTACACTTATGGCATTTCCCATAGGATGCAAATCCTGATTTAGATGCAGCCATAGCTCAAGGAGACTGTCGTCTAATTGTGAATATTACATGAGTAAAAACAACATTCTAACTGCATTAAATAAATAATTTGATGCAAATTATTCATTAATTCTGTTCCTATAGTTGCTACAAGAATGC